GTGAGATATCACATAATACGTAAGAATAACAGGTTAGGACAAGAGCTACAAAATAATTAAAGGATATTTTATTTTAGATGAAGAATATCAAAGAGAATCAAGGCTCCCAAGGAACTTACTCCGAAACTTGTTGTAGCGATAGTAGTAAGAGCCTCGTTCATGCATTATAACTGGGTCAGAAGCGCGAATGCAGGATGCCTCGCGCAAAAAGTCTTCAGCCATTCGAACCCCTACTCTGCAATACTGCATTCCTATGTACATTTTTGGCTCATAGTGCCAAGGAAGGATTCGGGCGGCCTTAAATGGTTGGTTGGTTGAGCTTCTTGGAGATAAGCTTAAAAGAACATCTCACTCGATAGTAGCAGTTCAATGCCTGCTCATTTTCACATTCAGCTGCTAAAATGTGACCATACGCTATCCATCCTTCGCCAAAGGCTGTTCTCATCAAGGCAGCTTTATCTGACAAGAAAATGATGCGAGAGTGGACAAGAGATAGAAAGTTCTTACACAATCTAACTTATGAACGTTCTTGCTGCATGGATATTGAAACATGTGAAATAGTACATAGCTACGACATACCTAAATATTGTTTACAAAAACTGTCAAATATTCTATATCGCTCAATTTACCAGCTGTAGTGGTGATCAGGGAAAGATACGACTAGCTCGTGCGCTAAGAGAAACAATCTCCTGTAGTCTTGGAAGTAACACAAACAGTTCGCATGCAAGATAACACAATCCTGTAACAAAAATCTGACGCCGAGCCTAATGTTGTTCAACTGTTTACAAACAAAAAGGCATAAACAACTGACTAGATAAAGCCCGTGTTCTTCCATTATTGCTGTGGTAATTGCTAAAGTTTCAGCCACGTTTCCATCTCTATACAATTTATGTGCGTGTCTAGTTCTTTGACGTGGATCTGCCGATGCGCATTTCTTCTTCATTTTCTTCATCTACAACAGAGAAATAAAAAACAGCAGTATGTTTCTCAATGAATCTTGATAAAAAATTCTAAAGGAAAAATAGGAACATAGGAATCAATTAAAATAAACAAATGCAATTTCCCTAACGATAATGAGCAACGACTTACCAGGCGATAACAGGGGTCCCGCTTCGTACATGGTACTAGCCTATACTTTCTGAGTAGTTCTTCTGCAATTAAGCAGTGCCGATCCTTAATTGACAATAAAAAATTTTGAAAGACAGTGGCTATGCAGCATCATAAGTCTGCGTCTACCGCAATCACACTAGCAAATGATAGAGTGAGATATCTTGCTCAAAGTGAATAAGAAACATTGCATTTATCAGTTCTAATAAAAGGAAATAGTGCATTTACCAAAAGAAGTGCTAAAGGTTCAGATTGTATCGATACATTAATATATCATCTCAGGTTTCAATCATCTCCCAAGCTCACCTGCATGAAAGCGGCCGTCAAGCACCTGGTTGCAAACTCTCGATTCTCCATCAAAATATAAGTGCGCCCATAAACAACCATAAGAGCTGAGAACAACTGGAAGTGAAGCAAATAGGAGAAAATGATGAACAGTGGGAAAACCGCAAACCTTGTTATGAGTTAATATCTTGTTGAGCTCTGCAAGATCCTCTCCAGAAATCTCCTCTGTGGCGGAATCAACGTAATCCTCTAAACCACATCCTGCGTCGGGCGACTTTACCGGTAAGTCTTCATCGAGCATTTAAAATGGCAACATTTTTGAACTTAGCCATCAAGGAATGCTAGCGGAAGAGCTCACCAAATGCCCAATTTGAAGTTGCACTATATCTCCATACATCCGTAGATGAAATAAAGCGTTCACATAGTAGTATGCAAAGACGAGATGCTTTTTATAGAGTCGTTGAGTAGAAATGAGAGATGAGATTCTCTTGTACTGACAAACTCTGGTGAGTTCCTGCAACGGACTTCAGAGAGATATAGGGTCCATGGTTCAGAAAGCCATGATTCTATGGTAATCATGCAAATAGTCTATGTTAGGGTCACAACAGCTTTCTAGCTGCTAGAGATTCAGAAGGATAAAACTGGTGCAAGAAGATAATTCTGAGTGACTAAAGGTATCGATGATTAGTCTGGGGAAGCTAACACCAAGAAAATCAGTCTTTTCTTTCATGTATTTTTTAACGAGCACTTGTCGAAGTTTATATGTTGAACAGATGAGATAATGGGTAAGACTACTGGTGGAATAAACGAAGAAAGCATGGAAAGCAGAAAAAAATTGGAAAAATCTAACATTCGATCATGATAGAAGAAAAGACCAACCTTAACATAATTTGCAAAGTCAACCATGCTGAATCCGTTCTCTGATTTCTTTGCAAAAGCATAATCAATCCAGTAGGTGGCAGTTTCAAAATCGCCACGATCAAGATACCTTCTGAAGATATAAATTTAAATTTACTGAACACATGAAATCTGGTCGTTACGTTGTATGTTTCATATAATTGCGGGATACCAATTATATCGGACTCAAAAGATTTGCATTCCGCTCAAAGTTTGCCAGAAGACAGGGAGGAAGGGTAATTAGTTAGACATTCTGATCATCGAAATCATCATTTCGCAAGACAACGTCTTACTGGAGGGTAACGGTAGGTAATTGGAGAGATCAGAATTACGCGTTGGCCTAAAAAGCGGCTCGTTAAGATATATTAGACATGTTGCTCACTGTACGTGGACGTAATGCACCAAAACCATCGAATTGTCTGGAAAGGGCCACTCAACATGTTACTTCTCATATGCAGTTCTCACTCGGAATCTTATGGTGTCGCTACCTACCGCCGTCTACCTACCGTAACTCTATAGTAAGGGAGCAATACCACGGGCATAAACAGTTTTTTTTTTAATGTTTGTGGATTAGCTCCCCCCTCCAACATTTACTGGAATCCAAGGTTAGAGATTTTAAGAATATCGGTACGATGAAGAAAACCAGAAAACGAATAAAAACTATTTTAATCACAAAACACCACTAATATTGATTAATAGAGTCCCACTATTGAAATGCATGATTTAGAAAGCTAAGAACACTACAAATAAGAAACAGGCTTTTCTGCTCTGGACGACCTACAATGAAAAAAAA